AGCAAGACCCTGTTATCGATTCATTCTTTCATAAAAATAAATAATTAAAAATGAGATGGGGTCTCATTATGTTGCCCAGGCTTGTCTCTAACTCCTGGGCTCAAACATTCCTCCCTCCTCAGCCTCCCAAAGTACTGGAATTATAGTTGTAAGCCACCATGCCCTGCCCACAGATTATTTTTTATTAACAATTTTCTAACATTTTTAGTCATAAAAATCCCTTATTTAACTTTAGTGATTTACTGAAACATACCAACTATGCACTAAGTACTAGGATACTAAATGAACACATGATTTCTTTACTCAGAAACTATCAGTCTAGTTGAGGATACAAACATGTAAATTGAAATTGTGCAATAATCTGATAGATATCCTCATATAGGTAATACTAAAGCCCCATTAAAAACTGGCAGAGGTGATAACCAATTCCATCTTAATGACTAATGAAAGGTTTCATTAGGAAGTGATATTTAAACTGAACCTTAAGAACCAACTGAAGCTTGCATGGCAGATAACCAAAAGGTGGAGGGAGGTGGAGGAGGCATTCCAGGCAGAGATAGAACAACATGTGCAAAGAACAAAATCACAAAAGGGAATGGAGTATTTATGGAAAGATGACACGTTTCATTTGGCTGAAGTACAACTTACCAGTTTCAGGGTAGGAGATGACTCCTGTATATGCTTCATGATAAACTCCTGGCCAACCCCCTCTTTTCCATGTTTTGTCTCAAAGTAATTTTTAAATTTTCTGATCTTTTAAGACCATTTAAGCCCCAAAAAACTCACAAAAGGATATGTTCACACAGGAATTATCAAGGCTAATTATTATTCCTTTCTTAACTGTATTCTGCTACATATCTTCATAAAAGATAACTAGTCAAATATAAATAAAATCTTCCCATAATTATCCAATAGTATAAATCCACTAAATCTACAATAAGCAAAAATCAACAGAAGCAACTTAAAGGATCAATCTTAATAAAGAACAAAAGAAAATCTCTTTTACCTGAAAAATTCAAACAAAAGTCATTAAATATATGTCAAGTTTAGGCTGCTGTTTTTTTTTTTAAACTTTTATTTGTCTGGGCGCGGTGGCTCACGCCTGTAATCCCAGCACTTTGGAAGGCCGAATCATTTGAGGTCAGGGGTTCGAGACCAGCCTGGCTAACGTGGTAAAACCCTGTCTCTACTAAAAATTCAAAAAAATTAGCCGGGCATGGTGGTGGGTACCTGTAATCCCAGCTACTGGGAGGCTGAGGCAGGAGAATGGCTTGAACTAAAGAGGCGGAGGTTGCAGTGAGCTGAGATCGCACCACTGCATTCCAGCCTGAGCAACTGAGCAAAGCTCTGACTTTAAAAAAAACAAAAACAAAAACAAAAAAAAAACACTTTATTTTAGGTTTGGGGGTATGTGTGAAGGCTTGTTACATAGGTACCACATGTCATAGGTTTGTTGCATGTATTATTTCATCACCCAGGTATTAACCCCAGTACCCGACAGTTACCTTTTCTGTTCCTCTCCCTCTTCCCATCTTCCCTGCTCAAGTAGACCCCAATGTCGGTTGTTTCCTTCTTTGTGTTCATAAGTTCTTATCATCTAGCTCCCATTTATAAATGAGAACATGTGGTATGTGGTTTTCTTTTCCTGCGATAGTTGCTAGGGATAATGACCTCCAGCTCCATCCATGTTCCCACAAAAGACATGATTTCATTCTTTTTTATGGCTGCATATTATTGCATGGTATATATGTCCTACCTTTTCTTTATCCAGTCTGTCATTGATGGGCACTTAGGCTGATTCCATGTCTTTACAATTGTAAATAGTGCTGCAATGAACATTCATGCCCATATGTTTTTATGGCAGAATGATTTATACTCCTCTGGATATATACCCAGTAACGGGATTGCAGGGTCGAATGGTAGTTCTGCTTTTATAAGCTATTTTCTAAGTAGAAGTGTTATAAGAAACTTAAATAATAGCCTTTAGCCACCTGTTTAGACAATGAATAATATATGCTAGAAAAATATAGGTTGTTAATAACTCTTTTAAGAAAAGCTTGATATAAGTTGACTGTTTGGAACTCCTTGGTACAGGCCAGTATTATGAAGGAGGACAGAGTCTCAAGCCAAAATAAGGCCCAGTCTACTACATAATTCAGAATATAATAGAGCCAAGTTGAACTACTGAACACTATAGAATCAAAACACCATAAACCATATGGTTTCTTTCTAAAAGTAAATGCCAAGTTCTAACTAGTCATGACTGACACATATCTTCCCCTTTGCCACTCTTTCAGTACTTTCCTCTGCTCCCTTCAGCACTTTCCTCTCTCAGGAATGGGCTAACAAGTTGAGACAGGCTTTTATAGAATGTATAAAGACTAAGGAGAAAATAAAATCCGACAGCTGGGGTAAGGTAGTAATACACAGATTAACAATAATGTATCGCCGGCCGGGCGCGGTGGCTCAAGCCTGTAATGCCAGCAGTTTGGGAGGCCGAGGCGGGTGGATCACGAGGTCAAGAGATCGAGACCATCCTGGTCAACATGGTGAAACCCCGTCTCTACTAAAAATACAAAAAAAAATTAGCTGGGCATGGTGGTGCGTGCCTGTAATCCCAGCTACTCAGGAGGCTGAGGCAGGAGAATTGCCTGAACCCAGGT